CGATGGCGATGGCGATGGCGATGGCGATGGCGATGGCGATGGCGATGACGATGACGATGACGATGACGATGACGATGACGATGACGATGACGATGACGATGACGATGACGATGACGATGACGATGACGATGACGATGACGATGATGATGATAATAATAATAATAATAATAATAATAATAAAAACAACAACAATACCAACAACAACAACAATAATCTCATCGAGCCCTTAATATCTTAATATCTGCGCCATCCCCATATTAACCTACTCATTTGGTGTTATACAATAGACGAAAACAGACCCTAAATCTGCCATAGAAAGGCTTACAATTAAAAGACAAAATGGTGGGAGAGGCCTATATAGACATCCAGTACCTTTGGCGAAAACATGTCAGTCGATTAAAAATATTCTTTCACAGAAAATCATCCACTAGTAACATAGATAAACCCATAGTTCTAAATGATCACAATTACACCCCACTTAACTTAAGTGAACAAACAGATACACAACACGTTGATTGTGATGACCCGCAAAAACGGAAGATGGAAGACTGGAAGAAAAGTATTGGACGGCCGACATCCATATCATTTGGAACAATTACACGTTAACACATTAGCATCAAATAAGTGGCTTAAAATAGGTAATTCCCAGAAACTGAAGCATTTATAATTGCGATACAAGACCAGATAATTAACACTACAAATTATAGAAAATATATAATAAAAAATCCATCAGCAACAAACGATAAAAGTCGCAAGTGGCGAATCCAACTAGAAACGATTCAGCACATTACAGGAACATGCACAGCACTTACATAAACAGACTACACTCATAGACACAACCAAGTAGCAAACGTCATTCACCAGAAACTGGCACTCAAATACGCACTCATACCAGACACAAACACTCCTTACTATAATTACATACCACAAACTATCCTAGAAAACACAACACACAAACTCTACTACCACCGCGCCATTCTCACAGACAGGACAATTCATTTTAATAGACCAGATGTAACTCTTCAAGATAAAATAAATAAAATTACTTACCTAATAGACATTGCAGTTCCCAACACACATACATACAGAAGACTAAAAATGAAAAAATAAGTAAATACGCAGATCTAAAGGATGAAGTGTCTAGAATTTGGCGACAAGGAAAAGTATATGTTATCCCAATTGTTCTTTCCATAACAGACATTAATCCTAATCATCTTCTCCATGGCCTTAAATTATTAGGGTGTAAAGAAAGCCTTTTCATAACCTTGCAAAAAGCTGTAATTTTTAATACATCCCGCATCGTCAGAAAGTTCGTGCAGATGGAAGAGGATGAAGTAGGATCTTATTGTACACCCATCACATACTCGTAGATACATATAATACTGCATTTACTTGACTTCGGTCTGTAAATGCGTTTCAAACTAGCTAACAAGCTGAGAAGAATAAAGTAAATAATAATAATTACAATGATAAAAAGGCAGTTTAATGAAAATGAAATGAATGAAACAGCTATGATAGCTGACATGTCCACGAATGTCTTAAAGATGTTACATATTTATGCTCGAGTGCCAGAAGAAATATTCCGAATTTATCTATCATACCTCTAATAACGTGACCTGATAGATAGCTGTGCTCGTCGTCGTGAATTGCGACAACAGTGTCAATAGCTGCAGCGCATTTTCTACGCAAGTCGGCGTAAAACGGCACCATCCTGGAATTTGAAATGTTTTCTTCTGTAATATAAAACTCTTTATTAATGTTGAAAATTAAAAAAAAAATGTTATATAAGTTAAAAATGATAAGTGTGCATTTATAGTTATGGAAGAGCGGTGCCTCCTGATACAGGCGTGATAAGCTTAATAAGAGGTACCATCCACTGTTAATGTAAAGTTAATTGTATTACTGAAATAAATATTTTATTATTTTTATTATTATTATTTTAAACTAATAAACAACTAACTGAGTACATGGAACCACTGAGAATAATCCAAGTAATGGTGTTTTATTTCGATTAATGATACAATCTGTACTAGAAGTACTTAATGAAACAAAGTAGTATAAATAGTTTATTTAAATATAATTTCTTTCAATTTCTGCCCAGTATTTTTTCTGATTTTGTATTCGTAAAAAAATAATGTAGTTTTTTTAAAATATACACATTGTATTGGCTGTGAGAAATGTATCATCCAAGGTGAACATTATTAAGAATAGTGAATTGGATATAGGACGGAAATACAGAATAAAATTACTCCATTTTTTGTGGTTGTCACTATAACCAATTTATTTAAAAAATTTGATTTTTTAACGAAAGGTGTAGCGAATAAACTTATCTAGTATATAACCAATTATTATTCTCAAATTCAAGTATTACCAACACCCGAACGTTTTACTCTCGACTCTCCCCATAAAAATGATTCATTTAACAAAATCACTCAACCACGATTAATCTATACCTACGAATAACCATGATTATACTTCTTTTTGCTACTATTTTATGGCGGAGAGCAGCCGAATACGGTAAAAGGAAGAAAAATGTTAAAAATAATTTTAAATTATTTTATTGAATTGATATTCAATTATTTTTTGTGAAATTTGTCCACTAGTTGCTAGTTGTTATAATTATTAATAATAAGATTTAATCTAAATCTTCGCTTTAGGAAGATCTTCGATCCGGCCGGATTCGTACCGAACTCCTCTCCTAGCAAACCGTGCCATACGCTATGCCAGCTAAGCCACGGAACGAACCACCGTATCTCACGAATTTTTTTATGTGCTTGTTGTCAGATATTTGTATTTGGTTTTCAACGACTTTTTAGCCGTAGCGCCATCTATGACAAATCTATGAAAGTGACGAAATACTAAATCATATCAAACGTACGGGCCCTTTACGGCTCTTTGTTTGAAAAAACAAATATACGCGATTTCAATCCGGAAAAATAGTTTCATTTTCTATATTTTTGTAAGTTAATTTATTAACATGTAGAATGAACTACTGTTTACGTAACCACGTAATGTGGTAAACGTATATTCTAATCAGTATCCAAATTTAAAATCTAATCTAGAAAATGTCTAATTGGTCTTAATAAACTATCCTATGCGTAATTTTGGTGGTTATTGATTTTCTTTAATAAGTAAAATAGTTAATTGAAAGACTTGTGAGTCTCTTGCAGCAAGATTTAGACCAAGACCAAGACTAATACGGATAGAGATGATATTCAGAGAGGTGGTAAGCCACGTTTGACCCCTATTAAGATTTTTATTGCGCCGCCATGTATTAACTTCATAACTCTTAATTTTATTTTTGTAAAATAAATAAATAAAAAGAAATTACACAGCAACATACCATTTCTCGTTATGAGCCCACTCTACATTATGTGATAACATTGGTGTGCCCATCGTTACAGGAAACTCTACTTTTGGATACAAAAACTCAACTTTCGAATTGAATCCTTCCATATATAATCTGAAAAATTACACGTGGTTTGGAGATTTAAAGAATATTCCATGAATTATACCAGTTTTTAGTTAATGTGTGTGCATTACTTACTTGCCAATAGCATCCAATACCATAAAAACATTGTCAGGATGTCCTCGTCTGGTAAGGGGAATATGTTTACAAGATTTCTGCAACGACCGCTTGAGTATAGCTTGTAGAAGGCCGTGAGGAGCTATCTCAACGACCACTGCATTTGCCGGTACGTGCTGAGAGGTTTCCTCAAATAGTACTGGATTCTATAAAACAAAACAAATGGGTTGCGCGTGACTCATAATAAAGTCTTTTTAATCCCACGATTCGATGTTTCCTCGTAAAATTCTCACCAGTAAATTGTTGGTGTGATATTCGGCTGATGAGTATTTAGCGAGAGGCTCATTCCATTTCGCTTCTGGTACGGACGTTGACAACCATTTTTCCGACCGTGGCTTCGGATTTTTGATTACTTCATTTAAATATTTTAGTAAACCGGGACCTAAAAATGATCGTAGAGAACATTATTAATTCAATTCGAATTATAATTAAAAATCCTAATAAAAAGTATTTTCCACTATAAATCACATTCACACTCACCTGCTTCAGCTATGTATTGGGAATGATAAGCAATATTTGAACACGGAACCTCTTTCGCGAAAACACCTTTAGCTGTCAATTCAGCTACAAACGTTTTCATTATTTCGGCTGGTCCTGAAATGGTGCTAGATTCTGGCCCATTGTGGCAGGCCACTCCAATCTCTGGTGGTAACATTTCTTTGATCTGTGGTCAAAAATACTCCTATGAAGTTACAGTTTCGTAGCTGTCTATTTATATGTTTACGAGCTTACTTGATTATATCCGAGCCCAACAGCAGCCATAGAACCACGAATGAAAGGAGTCTGAACAGACACTAGACCTCGGCTGTACGCTGAAAGTATCATCTCTTCCGCTGTGAAACAGCCGTCGGCATAAGCGCAGCCCAATTCACCAACGCTGTGACCTACAAGTCAGTGTTATTTACTTATTAAAACTTACTTCCAGACAATTCTGGAACTCATACAATGGTGAAACACTGAAAGGTTTACCAACTAAAAATAAAGAAGTAACGATGTAAATATCGATTTACCAATGATATTGTCAGGCACCAATCCTAAAGCAGTAAGAATATCAGTAAGGCCGATCTGAATAGCTGCAATTCCAACAAATGAATGAAGAATATTATCGAAGATTGTTTTGTCCTCTGATGTAATAATATGAATTATATCTACACCCTTCGGTTTCAGAACTCTGCTGCAACTGAAACATATGAACGTACAAAACATAAAAAAAATCTGCGCAATAGGTATTTTATTATCTAATCAAACAAGCTTAAAGCATAAAAATACCGTTCAATAGCAGCCGCGAAGATAGGAATACGCATAAGTTGTGTTCCCATACCCGCCCATTGCGAACCCATACCGCTATACACGAACCACAGCGGACGTTTGCTTTCGTCAAAATAGTTGACTGTTTCTGCTAAACTGATTGTTTCTCCATTCTCATTCGTACCTACAAAGAAGTAACTCGAAATTACCCCAACATTTCATGTTTTCATTTTATTAAAATTTATGTATGTATTAGACTTCTTACTAAGTATAGAATATCCTCTCCCCAAATGTCCTGAAACGGACAGCTGGTGTATATTACGTAACAAAGCAAGTTCTTCTTCGTCTATAGACCGAGACTTGAGGTCATCAATAATTTTCTGCACAGATGTGTCTTGTCTTGCTGAGATCGTTACAAGTTGGGGAATCGACGATTTATAACGTGACAAATCCTGAAAATATTATACGTCTCAACTTTAATAAGCTCCATGAGTACTTTTGATATGTAATTATACAAAGTCTACAATTTGTTAGCATAACATGACGTGGCAAAAAAAACGTACCTTAGGCTTATTATAACCTTTCAATAAAACATGGGCATTGATGCCAGTAACAGATATGCCATTGACAGCAGCGTATGACCGCCTGAATGTTTTATGTTCGGTCACGATTTCCATCTTGCCGTTTCGTAGAGCCGCAATGTCACGTCTTGGATTCTTACAGTGCAAATTTGCTGCAATCTCGCCTCTCTGATAGCTTAGTAACACCTAATCAAAAGTCAAAGTTAATATACCGAATATCGAAAACAAGAGCTAAGATTGAAAGTAGTATCTACCTTTACAACGCTAGATATTCCAGACGCAGCCTCACTATAGCCAATATTGGACATGATGCTGCCCACGAGTAATGGGCTTTGACGGTTCTTGCACAATACTTCCTCAAGCGCTTCTAACTCTGAACGATCTGATTCCGGTGTAGCTAAAGACATGAATTTAAGAGTATTTTAAAAGAGGAAAATTTTCATAAGGGAAAAAGAAGTTGCGACGAACGCATAGTGATCTAAATTTTATTATGATGAAAATCTAAAAACGATTTACGGCTGGATACATTCGGCATAAATACAACAAATGATACTGTTAAAAGACATGTTCATGTAACACTTAAGTGGAAATATAATTTTTACCCGAGCCAAAAGCTTCAACGTATTCCACAAAATGAGGTGGCACTTTTGCTTCATCGTAAAAAGTTTTTATGAAATCAGTTAAAAGTCTCGAATCCCGATTAAAACCATACTGCGGACCAGTTTCTCCTTCTAAAAGATGGCTGAACTCGTTTTTAATGTGGACGACCTCGGCGTACATTCTGTGTAAAATAAAATGTAGTTATTACATAAGATAATGCGATAATTATGATTAGAAAAATGTCAACAATTGTACCGTTTTGCATCTTTTGCCTTTTGAAGGTAAAGCACATTGATGGCCTCAGATCTGACACAGCCGTCAGCGTTTTCATCGAATGATTTAGTCTTGCCATCAGGGCTTAGCTTTACGATTCTGAAAACAATTATTTTCATCATCAAAACTATGAACTTTTCAACAAATGTATAGATAGAAACAAAATAATAACGTTGTCATATTGCTGAAATTGTATCTGTTATAATACCTTGAGTAATGAAATGATGACTGTGGATGAAGTGAAATATTGCATCCTCCAACGATGGCAGAGTCGCATTCTCCACGCGTTATAGCCTGACACGCCTGTTCCAGGGCAAGGAAGGAGCTGCAGCATGCTACGTCAATGGACATGGAGGGCCCTTTTGCATTCAGCCAGTACGATATTCGATTCGCAAACATTGATTTGCAACACCTGTTAGAGTAAATTAACTTGTAAGGGTTATTATGAAAAGACAAACTCCTTTTACAATAGATCTGATTTTCTCAAGTTTTTACCCTGGTATTCCAAAACCTGTTTTGGTACCGGCATCGTAGAAACTCGCCTTCTCGCTCTCGGAGAAACAAGATCCTATGTACACACCCACTTTCTTTCCTGACAATTGCTGCGGATTTATACCTATAAAAAAGAATTATGAATTCGACTCTTGCAGTATTCCTTTACATTGATTCTTTGTTCATTTTAATATATAATATTCATAAATAGAGCAACAAATTTTTGTCGTCACATTAGTACGTTTTACTTTTATATCATATCAGAGTCAGCTACCATTTCAGATATGCAATCTAACAGAATTCAATTCATTGTTTACGTAATATTCTTTACGAAAGGATAAATCTTAGCTAATATTATTACTCGATGTTTTTTAATTCTTATTAGAGCAACGATTCTTTGTTTGCAAAAGTTATGTCGGTTTGACAACTTAGGGCACAAGGGGTGACGCTGTTGTCGCTTGAATCTGTTCAGTTTAATCAGTCATCTGTCGTGGCTTTTTAACAGGGTTCTTGTTGGCCAGGGTCGCCATATGAAATTCAAGAATGGAGTTAATGTGTTACTTTTAAATTGAACAAGCGCCGCCGTTCTCCATAAACTTGCCTCGTGACTTTTAAAATCCGTTTTAACCTGATCCATCATTTGTATTTTCGAACTAATTACTGTACAAAATAAATAAATGTATCAATTGCAATCAACTGATGCTATTATTTATTTGCCGGTTGAGCAAATTGACAATGAAGATTGAATAGGGCAGGTAACAAATAATTCCTGACTAAATCAGGAACGAGGGTGTTTTATTTCATGACTTCCTTGTGCTCATACTCCGACATATGTATAATTCAATCGCTTTCTTTTCCAAGTTATATAAAACTCTTGTAATGAATTTGGCTACAAAAACCTACCAGCATCATAAATCGCCTGATAGGTCATTTCCAAAATCTTTCTGCCCATGGGGTCCATACATTGTCCAAGTCGGTAGTGAACTTTGAAGAACTGTGCGTCGAAGTACAACAGTCCTGGTATATTACCGGTGAAATTTGATATGTCAGGATGTTTACATTTCCATCGGCATGCCTCGGATGATATAGGATTTTTCTGAAAAGTTTTTTTAGATCGGTAGTCGGTACATAGATAGTAATATAAAATAAATACTAAACAACTTCGTAATTCACTCGTCCAAAATTAGTAATCTCCATTATACTCAAAGTATTTAGTATTATATTTGTCTAACGACGTCATGAGTCTAGAAGAAAAAAAAATGGGGTCAAAATTGCGTGTCGTAAACTGCTTTAAAAATACAGTCGATGGGTTTTTGCTTCTCCTGTGTTGTTGTGCATGATTTTTAGTCGCAAACGGTGATCATCGGACATAATAACCAAATATAATATAAAATTCGAATTCCTTGCTAATTAGACGCCAATTAAAAGCTTCCACATGCTTCCACATATAAAAATAAGAATATAATTCTACCATAAATAACTAAATAACACTTGTATGAGAACACAACAATTACTATTATTATAATTTAATTATTATTATTACAAAACAGAAAATACAGTAGAAGTGGCTAGTTAGCCTCATACGTGCAGCCATAGGTCTCCTAAGACCTATGTGAGCTCAGTCTGCCAATTTCGCTTTTTACGGTATGGTTGTGTCATTGTTTCGCAAAAATTCTCTAAAATCGTAAAAAAATGCCTTGTGCTGTTGTGGATTGCAAAAATAATAGCGGCATCAAAAATATTACCCGTGATGGAATTACATATCATCGGTAAGTCTTATTTTAGTAAAATTTCAATTTTTTGTTTATTGATTTGATTTTTTGTACTGTAAGAAACGAAAATAAACACTATCTTAATGCAGTATGGTCGAATTTTATCTTTTGCAGAACTAAGAAAACATTTCGAACGTAACACGCTAGTAGTAAAAAAAACTTGCAGATTTAGAGAGAGAATGTGTCGATAAAATTATCGATACTGTTGATATTGCCTTTGTTCGAGTTTTAAATTTGCAATAGACACAATCGTTGATGGCATCGTCGATTACTTGCAAAATATCGTGCGAAAGTATCATTATGAAGAAAGTATCATTATTATCTTGAAATATACCTTAGTAATCTTTTCAGAATCCCACAAGACCCCTTTCGAAAAGAAAAATGGATAGAAGCTACTGGACGACAAAATTAGATGCCGAATATGCCAAATTGCAGAGACATTTGTCAAAAACTTTGGTAGAAAATAATTTTCAAAAAGAAGTTATAATGAAAATTTTGAGACAGTTTGTTGGAATAAATATCTTCGATACTATTTCCAGCCATCAATCGGGAGAGTATCTGACTTCTAATCATGTAACTGATTTAATAAAAACTGTAATTGCACGCTACCTTAATATTCGCACACATCATGTACTAAAACTAAAATTAAAATTATCTAAAAGGCAACTGTTAAATAAGTAGTTTCTTTCACTTGTATCCTCTGTGAAGAAACTATCAACATCATATTATTATGGGATTTTATCAATTTTTTGACAGTATCGTATGTTTTATGTAGGTACAAGCCTGTTCATATGTGTGGAAGAGGCTTAATAAATGTTAATATCATATCCAACCATTTATATCTCCGACAACACATCTATTACAATATTAACAACATAACTATGCCAACAAATCCAAACAAATTCTTTATATCATACCACTATTGCTCGTGGGATGAATGATGTTATAGTTAGTTCATATTTTGTAAATTATTTTCGTTTACCCTAAACTGTGCTATTAAATATCATTATGTTCGTATACATACAATAGTTGGGAGAGGTGAGAGTCTAAAATAGATATAATAATAATTCTTATTAAGTACACGTAAGCACTTGCCTCGTAACTTTCTTTTTATTTGCAACATAATAAACGCTATTCTATACAGAAGTAAACGGAAACAAAGTAAAACGCGATATATACAGAAATAAATTCCTTTAATATTATTATAACTTATCGATAACACAAGAATTCCGCTGTGCGCATTACTAGTGCCAGCGAAAGGTCCTCTGTTGTCGAGATACTACTTTCTATTCGTTCAGATGTTAGTCATTCGTCATAGTCCAGCTATTGGCCACAAGATGGAAGGCAGCACGTTATATAAAATTTCAATAAAATCAAAACGTCGTAATTTGCAAAGAAGGTCTTACACTTTCAACTATATAAGAACTGGGTAAAGTTTAAGTTATATTAACAGTCCAGGACTTGTTACGTCTTTTTAAATTAGGAACTAGGACCAATCAGTACCAAGATTTCGTAGTGCTTATCATTTGTTTGTGTGCGTTTGGCGACCGCGGTTCTTATAGTAATCGATTTTTTTTCTTCCGTGGAATATAATGATAAGGTCAGCTAGAGGCTACAATAAGAAGCATTCTACAAACAAGCTAAACACTTCGCAATTGAAAATTGAGGGTTCGCCTAGACCTATATACATCGCCGAGCGCCTTACATACAAAACAAATCGTCTTTACCATCTTGCTCCTGAACTGGCTAAGGACCAGGGTTTAGCGTATTGCTGGACTACCAAAGGACGAGTCTATGTACGGAGAAAGGAAGGTGCCACTCCAACATGTATTAAAAATGAAAATGATCTGTAACTTTGCGGCATTCAATATGACTAGACACCATAAGTATAGGAACTAATGTTCTCTCTGCTTCGCAGGTTACTCGTCTACTTTTAAAGTTTATTTCAAAATTATCTCATTATTGTTACGTAAATAATTTATGCAATAAGTTACTCTCAAGCCCACAAATAAACACGCAAATACAGACATAAACACACAATTCACACACATACCTATAAATTTACCAATACTCTCACTCACTTTAAATTCAACTAACTGACACTTACTACAAATATTCAACCATACTCCTATTCAATACATGTTAAACTCATTGCTACTCAACTCCTTGTTTATAAACTATTATATAAAATATATCTATGTCTATCTCTGACTCTGTTGTGTGTTGTATAGACGATTGTTCTTCATTATTTACAAATATTAATAAAAGGCTAAAAATTCTTAATCAAAATATTCGAAGTATAAATAAAAATATGTCAGGATTCTTTACAATATTACGAGTGGCATTGACCTGGACATCATTGTCTTAACTGAATGTTGGATAAATCATACACCAAAAAAAAAAAATCCAATTCTCAATGGCTATAACCACTACATAACGAACAATAATTATACGCAGAATGAAGGTGTTGTTTTATGTATTACAGAATTTCTTAGTGCAGTGATTGAAGAGCCACATTTTATCGATGCTAACTGCTTAACGATTAAAATAAATAAACACACACTTATAATCTGTGTATACCGTCCACCGGTTCACAATTATCTTTCAAATTTCTTTCAATTTTTGAACAACGCTCTCAAGGCATCGTCTAACTTTCATAATATTATACTGTGTGGTGATATCAACATCGACATTAATACAAATAATCATGACAGACATTCGGCCTACTACTTGGATCTTCTAGCGTATCATGGTCTCCAATCTACCCATAATATACCCACTCACAGTAATACCTGTTTAGACCATTTCATGATTAAATCGAAATTATCTGCCAAGATTTTAGTAGCTGATTCAACATTAACCGATTACTACACAGTAATGTTTCAACGTGCACTTAACTGCGGTAATAAAAATACTTACTATACTCTTACTAGAACTAATTTTGCGAATCTTAACAAAGACCTAAATAAAATCAATTTCGACGTAGTACCTATATACACAAACAAATCCAAATGTAGCTATGACAATTTTCATTAGTTTAATTCAACAGGCAGTGGAGTACAGCACACTTACTATTTGCACATCTAAACGTAAACGTATCATTAAGCGCTGAGTAACCTCCCTGTCAACTGTGGAGTTCCTCAAGGTAGCATAATTGGGCCTACCCTATTCTTAATCTATGTGAATGGTCGAGCTTGAGCTTCAAAATGGTAGGATTCTTGCATTCGCCGATGACACTTCACTTTTCTTTCACAAGAAATCTTGGAAGGATACCTATAGCTCTGCCCAATAAGGCTTTAATATTGTTTGTAAATGGCTAAAAAATAACGTATTAACACTAAATGCCGACAAGTCAATGTATGTAACTTTTAATATAAAAAATACAAAATGATCCCCAGATAGTGAATGAATGAATGAATGATGTTTTATTTATTTCTCAATCACAAAACAGGCTTTAGAGTAGGGAATTTAAGGCTAATACAAGACTAAAAATTGGTCAGACTGTTTTGTGGGAGACTGGTGCCCGAGATAGGTATAGAAAAACCTTAGTTACCGGTCACCAGTCTTCCACTCTGCAGTTGAGCAATGTGGTTGTGGCACTGAAGTTGTGACAAAGGATAAAATATATAAAAGTTAGTGGAATATTCCTGATTTAGAATAATAAAAGTACTAGTGAACTAAACTAAGTATTTAAAAACCCTCTTAAGGTTTAACACTAAGTAAACTCACAATATGAAAAGTGTGAGAATGAATGAGTGAGTGTGTTTATAAGCTGAATGTGTTACTGATTAGATGTGTAAGAATTGTACTTTTGGGGTGTGTGGAATGTATAGTGTGCGAATGTGTTGAGGCAAGAGAACTACGACTTGGGAATAGTTAAATGAAAGATGTTTTATTTGAGGTAAGAAGAAGTTGCTCAGTCTCATCATAATTTTGGGTTTTAATCTA